TGATTGGCACCGAGCGGTGTCCACCTGCTTCTGTTCGCGCGCAATCGCTCGGAAAGTGACAGCGTTGCTGCGACCGTTTGACTAGTGCTGCCATGCTGCCGCGCAGGCATAGGTGAGCGCGAGAGACCACGCCCCCTAGCTCTCTAACTGACACGTGAACGCCACATCCGTCAGCGCTGTCAGCAACGGCGCGCTGTGATTGGCCGCCGCTCGTCTATCTGATCAATAAACACATGCGTCGAGAGTGGAGTGGAGAGACTAAGGTGCGATCCGGACACGACAGTCGTGCGTGAATTCGGCTTGCTCTCAGCTGCTTGATTATACGGTTCTTGAATATCTACCTCGTGTACACAAGCATTGATGTCAATGTATACGGAAACTGCACCGACGGCTGCCATGATGCAGGCCAGGATGGAGAGAATGGCGGAGGAGAGAGAGCTGGATCTAAAGCATCACGAGTACGCGAAGAGCATGCAGCATCCCGCGCAGTCAAGCAACGTCGTCAACTCGCCGACGAGCCAGACCGCTAGTCTGACGGCACGCGACGCGAAAAACGCTGTCGACCGCGTCAAGCGTCCCATGAACGCCTTCATGGTGTGGTCGCGCGGACAGCGCAGGAAGATGGCGCAGGAGAACCCGAAGATGCACAACTCAGAGATCAGTAAGCGACTGGGCGCCGAGTGGAAGCTGCTGACTGAGGCCGAGAAGCGTCCCTTCATCGACGAGGCGAAGCGGCTGAGGGCCGTGCACATGAAGGAGCACCCGGACTATAAGTACAGGCCGCGCAGGAAGACCAAAACGCTGATGAAAAAGGACAAGTACAGCCTGCCAGGCAGTCTGATGCCCGGCGCGACCAGCTCGCCCGTGCAGTCGGTCGGTCGCGACATGTACGGACAGATGAACGGGTACATGCCCAATGGCTACCCGATGATGCACGACCCGACCGCCTACCAGCAGCACGCACTCAGCGGACAAATGGCAGCGGCAAATGGCGGCCTCTATCACAGGTACGACATGGCGGCGGCGGCGCAGATGCACGCCGCTCAGCCGACGTCGGCCGGCTCGTACATGAACAGCGGCAGCAGTTATATGTACTCGTCGCCCTACTCGTCCATGCAGAGCTCGCAGATGCAGCAGTCTGCGGCCGGCTCCGTGAAGAACGAACCCGGTCCCATCAGCAGCTCGGCGGCTGCGGCCGCTGCCATGGAGGCCAGAGGCAGGGGCCACGTCGCGCAGGGCGACCTCCGCGAGATGATCAGTATGTATCTACCTGGTGACGCAAACGATCCCAATGCTCAGCATAGACTGCAAATGCAAGGGCATTACCAAAGCCTCGGACAGGGCACGGTCGGCACTGTTCCGCTCACGCATATGTAAATACACGTCTGGCCGGTTTTAATATTTACGGAAACGAAACGAAGAGCGCTCCGGCGCCGCTCACGACGGTGTGTATGCGCGTCGCACGCGTGAGGCGTCGCATGAGAGACGACGACGACGACGCGACGACGTGGTGTGTCCGTGTGTGATGTGTGATGTGCGTGCTGTGTATGTGACGGCCGGTACGGCGGCCGTCGTGCGTCGTGTCGGAAACCGGAATCCGGACCAACGGAACCCGGACCCGGACTGTTCTCCGCGCGTTTCTCGGACTCCGTAAAAAAAAACCACGGCCCGCTAACTCTGTACAGCTGTGACGTACGCGGCGACGTACGGTGCACGTAGACGCGTGAGTCTAGCAAGACTTCAACCGAGCTGACTGTCCGGCGAGGGGCGGTGCTGACTGACTGACCACTACCGCTACTGCGGCCGGCGACAGCAACCTTGGTCAAGGGTGAGTCTGGCAGACTACAATGCTTCAATCGACTTGGCCATTGATTAGACGGCCATAGTGCATCAATGTGCACAATGATGGATTTTTCTCTAAACCCTGATGTTGTGTAAATATTATATGAAGTTTTGAGACATTTTGTAATAAGGTAATCGACGTTATTTAATCATTCCTTGGTTAGGACAGAGTGTATATTGATGTAGCATTGAGCTTAAAGGCATGCAATTCACAAGGAAGCAGCATGAACCGTACGTGTTCTGTGTAAAGTCGGGTTTAACGCATAAATATCTCGTTTGAATGCGCGTGACGTTTGCCGTATATATAAATATAAATATAAATATAATATTATTCTCAACCGTCATATCACTGCTAGACGCAGTTTTTGAAAAAACTTATTTATAGTTGCACTTAATTCTTTACCAGTCATGTTTTACTTATACTTATAGTATAATAGAATCTCATGTTTTGAAAAGATGTTCTTTACGAAAAATTTGGCAATTTAGTTTGTCGTGTATTTGGTTTATTTTTCCTATATCAGTGTTCATCGTATACCGTGTCGTAAGCTTTGGTCTATTGAGTTGTACATATAGTGCACCAAAATTATATATGTTAATCCAAATCAGCGTGTTTCGTTTTGAAGCATTTAGGAAATAAATTAAGATCTGTTTTAAAATATCTCGCTGTTATTATTTCATGCTTATCGAACCTCATTGGGTTTTCGTTACGGTGTCATCGATTAACGCATAGTAGACAATATTTCGTCAGTGCATTCCTTCGCGAAATATAAATATGAACCACACACACATCATATTATATATTATGATATGAGAAGTATATAATATGTTTTTTTTGTAGATTATCTACCTATCGGTCTATCTATCTATCTATCTATTTTTTTATTTATCTTTATATATATCTACATCTCTCGCGCTCTCTCTCTCTCTCTCTCTCTCTCTCTCTCTCTCTCTCTCTTCTATAAGCGAATTGATTCTCTCCATCTCTATTCGTCAGATAAGCGTACTGCACATTCGTTGGGTGTATATTTAGGTTTACTAACAAACACTTTAAAATAGAAACAAATGTAAAAATAGTATTGCTAACACAGCCCAACTCATTAACAACGGTTAACCATGACTTTCAGCTCTGGTTTATGAAAAAAAATCACGGTTATATATTTACAATTTTATTTACAGATTCTAAGCTGGTATTATGTACGACGTGTGCTACGCTAACGTGAATCAGGCGACCGTATAAACTGTAATATCCTCATCAGAATAATGCATAATGCCTATCGGAAATATATTACAAATATTTCACAGTGATGCGCCAGCTGCTATTTCAAACAAATTACAACCTTATTACTACGAGTGCAGTCCCTACATTTAAAGCAGCACCGATGACAGGGGCGATTAAATATCTACATGCTACGCGCTGTACGCACATAGATTTCAAACGCTTTCACAAACAACGTCTAACGATGAGCTGTCAGGCCTATTATTTTAGTTGCACTCGCCCGTGTATTTTCTCAAGGACTTACGGGTGTTAGTGGCTGCGCGAGAGATCGTGAGAGATTGAGGTTTTTCTGGTTTTCCGTTTATAAAACAACAAACCAGTTTACGGCGTCCATCAGGCATTGCGAACGTGTATGGCCGTGTAAGACATGGCACCGGCCCTTGGCCATCCTTGCCGTAGTGCCTGGTAGAAGTGAATGCAAGCAAGCCTGCGTTAAAGTACGATATTAATGCGTACCGCTCGCTGCCACGATTATTAACACTAAACATCTAACGTTGATATGAGTTAAAACAACATGTATCTAATAATAATAATATATATATATATATATATATATATATATACTACTCGCGTTAATTATAACACATCGGCAACGTTGACTATCTTTTCATTAGCGATATGCATGAAAAAAACCACGTCGACTCGGTGATTTTGCCATCGCCTAGTTGCCTGACGACAGTTCATTGGCTTCAACCTACTTCTGTCGCAGTAGCAGCCAATCAAGCATTGTTGGGTAATAGATAGGAGATGAGTTCGTTCCTGTTGTAGCGAATGACCGCCCACGGCGGTATCTGCTAAAATCACCCGAAAATAGGCCACCAATGTGAGGCTGGCCTCTCGAATCCCTGTGGAGAGAATTCGCAACGTAATTACGTGGCAGTCGTTGGGCGCGAATAAAAGTGACTGCGCTGAAATAGGAGAAGAGAAAAACGAGACGTGTTACAGCGGCGTGCGTGTGTGCAGAGGACGCAGTGTGCATCAGCGAGCGAGCGCTGTGAGTGTACGTACACGCGCGCACATGCACGCACGCACACCTGCACGCGCACATGCACACGCTCGGAAACACATATATACGCACACACAAACAAACATACACACACACACACACACACACACACACACACACACACACACGTGCGCACGCGTACACACATAGAGAGTGAGAGAGATGGGGGAGGCAGACAGGTAGGCAGAGAGACAAATAGACAGACAAACAGACAGAGGGACGGACAGACAGACAAACGCAAATAAATAAACAAAAAACAAACACGCGCACGTGCGCACACCCCCACCCCGCTTTCTCCATTTCGCACGCACGCACACATGTATACGCATCGACATACTCACCCAGTAGTATAAGCATATCAGTGCGACACTTTATATATTTATTTCACGAAGCCTGGCGAGTGCAGTTACACAATCACGCGTCGCTTGTGGGTCGAACACGCCTGCTAATTTATTGAAACGCGAGCAAGTATTTGTATAAATTAGGACATTTATTTAGTTTCAATTCGCCGCCGGGTTGAGAGAAACCCCGTAAAGAGCATTAAATGCGTGGCAATCTGCATTGACAAATAACTAGTCGGTGTTACTTTAACTCACTTCAACTAATTCTACTTTGCCAGTCGATCAAATAATGTCAGGACGGCAAATACACTGCCATGCAAAAATATTTCTAAATATTTAATTCATGAAATGCGAGTAAAATTGTTTGCTCGGCGTCACTATATGTGTAATTATAGAACCGAGCGCCTGGAACATTCACAGACCTACCCCACGACAAAGACACTAAATTACTTCGTTGAAGTTTGACGCAACATTTGTTGGAGCCATCAGTATGGAATATATATATATATAGCGCATATTGCAATCTTACAGCGCTATATTGTGGGTTATTATCGTCTCGCATGCTTGTGTATTATGATACATTTATATTCCGATAAATATTCATAATTCTCTCGAAATTGGACCACAATTGTGCGTGTGCGAGTGTGTGAGTGTGTGTGTGCGTGCGTGCGGGCGTGCGTGCGTGCCTGTCTGTCTGCCTGTATGTATGTATGTATGTATGTATGTATGTATGTATGTATGTATGTATGTATGTATGTATGTATGTATGTATGTATGTATGTATGTATGTATGTATGTATGTATGTATGTATGTATGTATGTATGTATGTATGTATGTATGTATGTGTGTATGTATGTATGTATGTATGTATGTATGATATGTATGCTATGTGTGTGTGTGTGTGTGTGTGTGTGTGTGTGTGTGTGTGATGTGTGTGTGTGTGTGTGTGTGTGTTGTGTGTGTGTGATGTGTGTGTGTATGTATGTATGCCTATGTATGTATGTATGTATGTATGTATGTATGCTTACGCTTATATCATACATATGTATTTATATATATAAGTATACATGTAATACTCAAGGTGTATATATATATATATATATATATATATATATATATGTATATATATGTGTGTGTGTGTATGTGTGTGTGTGTGTGTGTGTGTGTGTGTTTGGTGTGTGTTGTGTGTGTGTGTGTGTGTGTGTGTTTGTGTGTGTGTTGTGTGGTGTGGTGTGTGTGTGTGTGTGTGTGTGTTGTGTTGTGTGTGTGGTGTGTGTGTGTGGGTTGTTTGGTGTTGGTGTGACTGTGTGTGTGTGTGTGTGTGTGTGTGTGTGTGTGTGTGTGTGTGTGTGTGTGTGTGTGTGGATGTATATATTTATGTATATCGTTCCACGTATAATCTCTGAACTCATTATAGATCGTCTCTGTGTGATATATGATGTAATTAAATACAGATCAACTACTGCTTCCGCGCCGCGCGTGTGTACATATATAACGTACTATATTACCGCATTGCTCACTGGCTTGGCATCGACGAATGCGCGCGAGGATGCTGCATGCACACACAAAGCCCATGCAGCGTCCGCATCCTCAGTATCCGAGCGGCTAGCCGCGGGCGCTGGCAGCAACAATTTGCCGCGTTAACGCTAAAATTAATTACCAGAGTGTCATGTAGAATATGACACACAAATACGGCCGTAATTTTATACGGCAAGACAAGTGGTTTCGGATTATTGGGATGCTAGGTGATTTAATGGTCCGCCCTTAGCGCTTTGTTTCCTAAACAGATCGCGAGAGCGGTAATCGGGTTGCGCACCCCCTGCGTGTAATATTATGTGCGTCTGTCTAGATCCCCGTCACCGATTATTATAGCTGAGTGTACGCTCGTCTTGGACGAAAAATATACGCACCCCTTACGGAAGCGCGTAACCCTCACGGAATAAACATACGCACAGAAGGATACGTAATGCGTGGGTGCGTACGGTACGCGTAGATGTTTCAGCAGGAGTAATTACGCGTTTCGTTCGCATATAATGTGATTTCTAGAACGTCGTATATACGCGATTGTGAATTTGCATCAAAATACGTGTTCGCGTTATAAACTAGAAATATTGCGAGCGCGTCGTAAATCGCTGGCATGTATATAAATCGCATCCTAGCTTCCTCGACACTCTCGTCGACTTCTCTCTCTCTCTCGCGAGACGATTATAGCATCGCCAATATATTTTCAGCGTTATAATTTAATTTAGAATAAATTTTCTCGTCGCATGCGCGTCAACGAATCGAAGTTTAACTATCGCCCTATATGCAAATAATTAAATCTTTGGGCGCGGCTTAAATCATTTTAAACGCGACGACCGTAAAATTCTTAACTATTTGCAGAATTACTGTGATTAACTTTATTCGTTCATTTTTAAGAAAACCACCCACATAGATAGTTTTAACGCGACGCGTGCGGCATCCATATTTCATTAAATTTTAAGATGATATTATTGATATTTTTTCATTTTTATTACAGACTATGCATTTCCGCGTATACACTTAAATCTGACCCACCATACACATTCATTTAAATATGTAATCATGAATTATGACGAAACGCTTCTAATCGTGTACAAATTATAAACGTTATTACGAAGAACAATTTTGTTTAGCTTGAAACATTTCAAACCAAGTTTTCCCAGTCACCATCAGTGAGTTTGCGATGTATTCGCCTGCTAATACTGCTGCGACGCCTACATGTACGACTGTGGCTGATTATCATAGTTGGTAGCGGCATTAAGCTACATGGCAGTCATTAGGAAGTGAGCGCGTTAAATACGCACATACGTTTGGTTGCACGAGTCTAAATAATTCATAGTCCTTCTGAAGCAAACCCACCATATATATATATAATATATTCGTTGGAGCGTTTTAAATGTAGAGATAGATAGAGAAATGTGGTTAAGCACATTACACATGCATGCGCATGCACGCACGCATGCACGCACGCATGCACGCATGGCATGCACGCTGGTACACCACACACACGACA